TTTGCTGTCAAATAGAAACTAAGGGTCTCCAAAATGTCAGAAAAGCTGTCAACATGTCACAATAGCAGCTATGTCTCCAGCCTGATGACAATATTTCCTGACACTGTGCCAAAGGTTTTGGAAGAGCATCAGAAAATGCCAAAGTGGATCCTTAAGTGGAACATTATCTGTCAAATATAAGAAAAATACGGCAATTACTGTGCAAGTACTTTATGACTCTATTACTTTTGGTAATGATCAGATAACAGCTAAGAACAGTGACAGTTTTATGGCTCAGCTCGGTGGCCAGTTTTGATTGCATCAATTAAGTCCCCAAACAAAATCACAGTCCTGTTCCGCTGCAAGTATAACTGCATTATCTAGTAGTTTTACCTCTCACTAATGAGATACTTACACTCAGGGGCTCTAATAACTGTAACTAATGGATTCAGTTATGAATACGTTTTTAAAAGCTGTTGACATATATTTGGACTCACAAGTTTACATCCACACATCATAGATATCAGTGTGCTTTTGATGATTTCCTTGAAACACTTTTAGGGTACAGTTACTTTATGATAGATGCCTAATCCGTAATATCTCAAGGATGGAGGCTTAAAGAACTGGCGACCTGTCCACCGTGTACCCTGCCTCTCGATGGAGGCTTAAAGATAGACATAGCCTACTGTCCAATCTTCTGTATAAATACCTTGTAAAGGAACAATAAGTGACATATCAATATTATATGGGCTGCTTAGCCCGATCCGTAGACCAAAACAACATGTGTAACAAGCAACACCTCTCTCTACTTTGATTCTAACCCTTCAACCCTGCCTTCCCCCCAACTTTGTACCGCTGATTGCAAGATAGCTTTGTGTCAATCCACTTGACGGGTTTTCCACCATTTTAGTCCGCATTGGTGCTCCTGTGGTATTTTATAGACAGGAAGCGTTAAGGTATGTTCACATGGATTTTCATATACGCGGCTAGCCTTGTAAACAGGAGTCCAGAGAAAATCTTAGGGAGATGATGTCACGCCATATTCCATCTTAAGATACCGTTAGTTCTTCACATTATTTTTCTATTTTCCATCTAAAATAATGAAAGATCATTTATTTCTCCTTTAAATAACATAACCATTTTTGTATCAACATTAATTCTTGTTAAATAAATGATCACTGTTCATGACAGAATTAGAAGAGGTCATTTTTCTTTCTAGCTCAGACCTCTCTTTCATAGCCAAAGGTTTTAGTGTGGTTGAAATTGGCACTATTACAACATAAAGGTTGTCTGCCTTTCACATTCCTAAGAAATTTTGCGGTAAAGTCAGAAAAATCCTGTAGGAACATCCTTTTTCATTCATCTCAGTCAAGTACAATAATTAAGGGCTGTTCTGTGATATAACATTCATAAGATCTTAGCACAATGCTGCCATCATTATTATGATAATTAAAGGATGTTCTGAATATTAATATCAATATTAGCCAAAAAACTGTTAGCAGATTTTATGGGCTGGCATCTAAAATCACAAATATTTTCATGTGGTTAGAAACACTCTGCTTCTGTTAAAATTCTCTATAACTCATTGCTTAATTTTATGTGGGTCAATTGTTTTCATATCTTTTGTTGTTGACCTATGTTTCCTGTTATAGTGATATTACTTGATCAAGCCTAGTCTTATTTATACTGTAGATAAAAATAGATACAGTTGGTATGATTCGTGCTTATATCATATTGGGTCAATATCGGTATTGGCCAATTCGCAAAGCAGCAATATTGGTATTCCATTGGAAATGCAAAAGTGTATCAGGAGACCCCAGAAGTCAGAATAGTACTCTTTAATTTGAAAGACCTTACTTCGGTTCCTTTAAGTTTTCTTTCTTTCTTTTTAAGAAATATAGCTGCAGTATACATAAAACTAGTCTCTAAAATAATTAGTCTTTTCATTATACGCTGCTGCAAATTCAGTGTGGCTCCAAAGTGTCGCTTGTCAGTTCTTGTTGCTGTTAAAGGGACTTCATTGTTAATGGTGTTCCACCTTTTCCCAGTTAATGATTAACCTGAGCCTCAGTGGTTACTAGGTTGCTCCTTAACATCCTGTCCAATTTCTTTCAAGTTTAATTGAGGGTATTTTGATCAGATTGTTATAATTTACACACAACTGAGTTTTCCAGCAAGACGGGAGTAAAACAAAACATATATGAACAGGTTTCGGATGGGATAAATTAGGTTTCCTAAATAATCTCCCTAAAGTCCTGACCTTAACCCTCGTTAAAATTTATGGACTTTGCTCTAAAGCTGAGTATATCCCATGAAACCAATTATTTTAAATTAACCCATTCTTCTAAGAAAAGAGGTTCAACATACAGTCAGAAAAATAGCAGAACCTCGTTAATGGCTACAACATGCATGGATTTAAGGTATTACATTCTAAGGGGACATTTACTCCTGTTGTTTACATTCTGCATGTATAGCTCTATTGGGGAAAATCCACAGAATAAGAATTCAAACTTAAGCACTCAGCTGTTGTTTTTGACATTCATTTGAGTTGTTTTGCAAATCCTCTATTTGTATTGCAAAAAGAAAGGTTTAATAAATTACTAAACCTACCATGGGAATGTAAGTTGCATTAAAAACTGGAGTCGGATTTTAGGAATGATTGAAACAAGACTGAGATGAATTTGGTGTTATAGTTAGCATAGCATTGCATAGCTCTAATGCATAGCTCTAATGAACTTTCTAGTTAGACGATATATTTAATCATTTTTTGCAGCATATCAAACCAGCATAGCAATTCATAAAGTTTATGAAAACAAGCCGCAGAGCATCTGGACTCAACCTCTTTAGAAAACATTATTAGCATTTATAGCTGGAGGCTACATGGCGTGAAAATCAAACAATTGCACTACATTTTATTAATGACTTTCTAACACGTGTAAATGGAGCCTTGATTAACTCTTGAACAAAGGGGCCATGACTCTCTCAGTTCATAATGTGCCGTCAAATGTGCTGTTATAAATGTTAATAAGTCATTAATAAAAGGTCAAGCTGTCTGTTAGAATTTTCTGTCCTACACTTCATGTGACAGAGCTCGAGCCGGCTGTGTTTGCTGTTTTTGTGTGCAGACTAGAGGAGATTCTTTCATTCACAGTAGCTCAGTTATTAATGCAAACCCACTACTGTTTGTTGAGTTAATCCATCAAGCCTGATCACAACATCTGGTAATAGTATTTCTAATGGCATGTTGCTGATCCACATAAAAATAAATGAGTATTTTTTAATCATTAGCGTGGTAATTAGCCTGGGGTTCAGACTGACAAAGTGATAAACTTGTGTTACAAAAGGTGTGAAAACACAATTAGCATTAAGCAATGTGAAATAAGTTAAATGAAATTTCACTATAGATAAAGGGCAAATACTCATTTTAGAAGAAAAAAACACAAAGAAATCATTATTCACCTTTGTAATTGTTCAGCAAAATATGTGCCAAATAATAAAAGCACTTTTTCCCCAATTTAGATGCGAAGTGTCTAATGCAATGTTTTTGTGCATTGCGTATGCTGTTGTCTTTGTTGTAAAATTGCCGCTTTAAAAGGGGATCTCCAATCGCTTTGCAGCCTTATATTGGGAAAACGATAAAAGAATAAACCTAAGGTACAAATATTACTAAATATTCATGGGCTTGGAAGGGTGGAAGCATTAAGCAGGAAGTAAACAGCCAGACCAGCTCTATATCTGTGACCAATGTTTTCTTAGTGTCTGAGCCAAGTGAATGAGTACATCTAAACTGTATGTTAGTATTTGACTTGCCTTCTGTGCAACTTTTAAGCAGTAACTTGCAGTGAAATTACAGGCAAAAAAAATGGTATTTTAAAACTAATTGAGGGGCTGATGGTGAGTGAGTAGAATAATACTCAACAACTCTAAAATAGATACAAACTAATGCATAAAGCATGAAACATGTTATGTAAGGAACACTGAGAGTTTCACCTTTATACTGTTTATTGTTGGTAAGAACTTTCTGAATCATAATGATTAACATCAGATAACAATGCTTGTCTAAACAATGGCACACATGTGTACCTGAAGGCTGGCAGAGTTATGGTGCTTTACATTTCATCATGTTTTGAATTAGAGAATATCTAAGCTTGAACTTATACTGTGCTCCATTTTTCCTCAAAGGTTGACATTTCTGACCTCTAAGTTGGAAATTTGAACTGAAATATTCCCAAATGTCAGATTTTTGAGTCAGAAAGTCAGGGCAACAGGATCCTGCCCAACTTTTTCATGCAGGATTGATTTTACACACATCATCAGTTAAACTTTCCTACATTAAGTGTTTGTAGCAGTTTATTATTTACTTAAGCAACATTACAATAGATTGCTGTTTTCAAGTTGTTTTCAGTGCTGTTTTTATACAAAGCTGTTTTTGTCATTGTTATGGTTGTAACAGTGGCTGGATCATATGAGCAGAAAACTTATAAAAAAAAAACCCACAGACATTCACCGCTGCAACTGCATAAGTTTCTTGTTCCAAAGATAATGAAATAGACACTTAGTTCTTTACCTCTTAGGGTTCTGTTTGTCAGATCTTCAAGCAGCTGCACTTAAAAAAAATGTTCTGTAACCGCTTTTTATTTTATGTGAATATTGGGTTATGCACTCATTCTAGAACCCTTTGTCAGCTTTTAAGTAACTATAAAATAGTACTTTTTTTTTTTTTTTGTGAACTCTAATTTTTCTTGATTTCAGACATGAGTAAATGTAACCGTGCAGAGATAAAGGCCTAAACACACTTTTAAAGGGACATTTGTAAAAAGATTACAATAACATGCCCTTTAAAAAGATTAAGAATCAATTTTGAAAGCAGGAGATTCTTGGTAGCCAGTAATAAATATTGAACAAAAAAAGCTTTTAGCTTTCCTGGAATAAATCTTTTTTGTTTTGTTTGTCCACCTTGACATAAAAACTTCATCTTGGCCCTGAACAGTTTCTGTGTTTTTTGTTGTTTTGTTTTCCAGGGATTTTACGCACAGCAGTCCCTGACATGGACAGGGAGACCCAGGACCAGTACTTAGTGGTCCTTCAGGCCAAAGACATGGGAGGCCACCTGGGAGGATTATCTGGGACCACCACTGTCACTGTTAAGCTCACGGATGTCAACGATAACCCTCCTCGTTTCACCCAGAGTGAGTAATTCTTTGTGGCTTAAAAGCCACTGCAGAATCAAACACCTACAGAAACAGTGAAGCGGTGCAGTTGAACGTATGGAAACAGGTGGCTTTTGGACATGCTGGGCTCTCTGCAGGGATTCAGCAATTGTATTACCCCTAATTTTCTAACTCTCATACATTCTGTTGGCACGCTTTGTTTTAGAATAATTTATCGTGGTCCAGAGAACCAAACTAGTTTGGCTCTGCCTTATTAGAACAAACAGAACCAAGAAAGCTGCCAGTCACGGTGAACTTGCAGAAATTGACTTACTTTGTTATGCCCGTGCTAACTCCCTTGTTCCTGTTATCTCAAAATGCAAGGAGAAAACAAACACAAGGCCGTTTTCTCTTTACTGCAGGAGGCGGAAGAGTTTTCAGACCTTTTTTGACCCTCGGGTCTTGTCAGGATTTTCACAGCTGCAGCCAGGCAGAGGAAACTCCTGGAGGGCAGGAAAGCATCTCATCAAACATTCAGGCATAGATTTAACTTGCCTCTACTATCATAGATCAGCTACTATTTCCATCTGCAGCTGTACTGTCAGATTACATCATATTTTCTGACAGAGCCTTGACATAAGCTGGCCTAATTGCCTTTCTATTAACAGTACAATCATGCAGTTTCTCCTACATTGCAATCCAATTATTATGAAAAAAATCAAAGCACTTTTTTTCTTTTTACATCTTTGACAGATAATTGATCAAACCTTATTTCCAGAATAGCATGCAGAATGCCTGATGGAAAAGTATATTGTCTTAGAGTTGTTCAGTTCTACTCAAAGTCATGGACTACAGTAAGTAACAATAAATTTTACATTAAGAAACTTTAAATATACACTGGCTAAGTGTATCATGTCAACCTGCTGAGACTTCAGGTTAAGTGGCAGGAATAAGAATTAAATCTAACGAAGTCTGACAACAACAAGAATGATAAAGTATCCTAGGGGTAAAGTGGCCACAAAGCACAGGGGTTTTAGATGAGGACATTAGCAATAGTCTTTCTTTGTGCCGTCAGTATATTCTAATTTAACTTTTTAAATGAAAAAACCCTTGCTTTAACACGTGTACTCTTGTTTCTTTGATTTTACATGCTGCATTCAGAATTTTGATTCAACCTATTGTTGTAAAGTGTTTTTAGAGCATAAAAATGCCTAATGAAAAGGAAAAAAAATCAAAACATGCTTTCTTAAGCACTAGTTTTTTTGTTTTTAAGGGAGGAGATTATTAAAGGAAAATTAGGTTAAAATACAAATGATGTCCTAAATCTTAACATATACAGATTTTATCATATATTTTTGGGACGAAAAGAAAGGGCTTGATGTAATCCTTTTTTTAGGGTGTAAAACAGGCTTCAATGTCACATTGGTTCAAGTTCTATCATCAGCTGTTCCTATGCATCGATTGTCAGTTGAGTTATTTTTTTAATAGAAAAACTTTACTTTTTTTATAACGAAACAATTACATAAAGACTGAGCAAGCACATATTGTACTACAGAATATAGCAGCATGGCTTTGTTTGTCTGATTTAAATCCAAATGAGCCACAAAATGTCTGATAAAGAGTATTATATGTAGATGTGAGCACCGTTAAAATCCTCAACCATATTTCAAAGGTATCATGTTTGAAAACTGAGGTGGGACCTTCAAGGTAGAGTGGAGGAATTTGGCAAATTTTTTTAAAAGACGCGCCCTGTCCACTTAAAAAGAAATATATACATGCACAACCCTGTGGCTGCTCCTGAAAGGGAACGTCTATTAGACGCGTGCAAGAGCGTGCACAAGCCCATTTCTCCTTGTGCACACTCTGTTTTTTCACTATGTCAGACTCAGCACCGGTAAGTGAAAATGGGGAAGAACACGTAGGACGACCTTACGTAAACACATAATCAGAATGATTGACAATTAGGAGGACCACTTATTTGGATGAAACACCTAGAAAAGGAACATCCTCCACAATACATTTAAGCTCCATGTAAAAAAACAAATGTTTAGAAATCATAGAGAACAAAATCAATATTGCGTAAATAGTCCTCTACTATAATGAAGGATTAGACATTTGGTAACTAACCCCATTTGCCGCTGTTAAAGGTATCTCAGATGAAATATGAAGTGTTCCTCTAAAGAAATCTTTTGAATAAAAATTGAAGGAAGTATATATATGATGATCCTGCTACTTGTATAAGCTTTCTATCTTTTGGTCTTGAAAACCATTCTACAGTGTATGCATATGAGGAGACTTGAATAAATATATCTACCTATAAACCTGCATGTATGGAGTATATACTCCATATAATAGTGTGCGTTGGTCTAACAAAGTAGAAGTTCTGTCACGTTAAGACTTCATACAGAATACTAAGTATAGTCCAACATACCTTCCAAGAACAGCAGCAGGCAAACATCACTGTTGCCATGAAGACTGCAGGTGCAGGAGGGAGAACTCTCAGGAATTGGACAGGCTTATGATAAAGGTTTCTTGTCCAATGCACCACTAGCTTCAATGCCAAAATTGAACTAATGATGTCCCGGGGCGAGAGCTTTGTTGGGTGATTTGATTCTCCATCAAATATGGGGCTTTGGAATAAGCTGTTTTGAGGACCGGAGGCCTTCTTCAAGGGAAAAAAACAAACTTATTTTGTTCTGTCTGAGTGACGGTAAGGCTCACAGAGCCAGTGGCTACTTTAAAATCTGCCAGTCCACCAGATTCTCCACACTGTTTTTTCTGGAACTGTGCAAGCACGCACCTTATTGAATCTCAATGCTGGGATTTTCTTTGTGTGTTAACAGCCCACATATTCCCTTATTTTTACATGTGTAGTTCCATGTTAACTTCGCTGATCCTCTGCTTGCACTTTTTCTCCTGTTCCCTCACATTCTGCACCCTCTTGTGTTTGTAGAGACACCATCAAAGCAAGCCGACCCGCCGCTTTACTCAATTACGAAGGTGGGCTTTTAAAAAGGCTCCCTCAAACTCAGCCCTAGTTGTCTCCCAAGGTCAGCACTGCTTATTCTGTGTGGCATTTAGCAGAAAGAGAGGATTACACAATAGTGTGAAAAACAGGTATTCACTGCACACTATAGTATCAGCAGGGGGGATAAAAAAGACGTTCTTCTCTTGCCTATACTCCTGTTGCATCCTAGAATGTTTTCTCTCCTTCCAAGACACGATTTTAAAAACCAAGTGAAATTGTTGTGTGCACATTTTTAAACATTGTGGGGGGATTTCTTTATGCCTGGAGGAAGAAGCACTGTGGAGAAAAGTAGGCTACCATGCAGATTGTGTTTGCTTTATTGAAGAAATCTGGGATATTTTCAGTTAAATTTTTTGGCATAGGAGACAATTAAAACAAACACTCCTTTTGGGAATCTAATTCAAGTTTACATAAATCAGCTTTAAATGTACATTAATTGAGTTGTTGATTTTCTTTTACATTTTGCTGCATTCCCATGCAGAAGAAATGTTCTTAAACATATCAAATACAATATATATTTTAAAAAAGAATTCCCTTTTGCTTAACTTAGAGTTATCATCTTAAAAAATAACATTTGAATATATATATATATATATATTTGTTGAAATACAATTTATTTTTTAAAAAGCTAGACAGATCTACATTTTTCCTTAGGGGAGTTTATGTTCCTTCTCATTTGAACTCGTTTTTGCTGAAGCGGTTAATTATGTGGAATAAGACCAAGTGTGTAAGAGAGAACCAGAGCGCTGGCTACCAAATACCACAGCCCTCAGGATAGATGCAGTGGATCTCTTCCTAATCTGAGGCAGACATTAGATGTTTTAATGGCTATGAGAAAGCAGGGTGTTAGTCTTGAGCTAGTTTCAAAGAAACAATCTTAAAAGTGTGACATTTAGTTGCTTTTAGCCCCCTAGACTGAATATCTCCATAATTCTTTTGCTGCAATTAGAGTCTTTTGCAGAATGTCTTTGCACATTTAAATACTGAGGGTTAGGGGTTGAGAGTCTCTATGAACTAGGGCTGCAGAACATTACAATGCATTAGTTTTGGTTATATATACAGTATATTCATTAATTTTGGTTAATGTTGCAATGACGATATGACTTATGGTCTTAATAAACAGCAGATGCAACCTCAACGACACTTAGGGGATTGTTATGCAGGTTGCCAGGTCAAGAGAGACAACAATGTAGTGCATATAAATTCAAGATGACCAGTGAAGACGATTCAGCCATAGTAAATTGTCATGGAATACATTTTGAAGGATGCTGAGGCTTTTTAGGAATTATTGAGCCTCCGTGTTTGCAGGATACTACACTTAAGCTTACATAGAATATCAAATGCTGCTCCCTGTTGGGAACTCTGGGAGCTTTCATATGAAGTAAACATGGGCTTCATATTGCACCAAAGTAGTTCTGGATTATACCTGAATTAAAAGTTGAAAAACTTGACAAAGACATTGTTGATGGAGGTTTACTGATTTATTGGGAATATTACTTCAATTCCAGCCTTCATGATCCTATTACAGATCTGTTCTCTGCTCAGATGTCTGTTTAAGTTGTTGGAAACTAGATCAGTCCCTGAATTTATATATTTTCACCACAGAGAAATACTGTGAGAGCTACTGTTCTTCAATGTGAACAAATCAGCATCTAAGGCAAACGATTATAGTTTGAAAATATTTAAGTAAGAAGACTGTAGGTATAATATTATTCTGGTGACTTCTTTACATAACTTCTCATTTCATTCTAAAATACAATTTGTTCTGAATCCCGATGCTAAATCCCTTGAGTTTTTTTTCAAAGCTTTGTTTAAGTTATTTTTGATGTTCAGCAGTCAGTTCTAAAGTACAAGTATGGTAGAAGCTGCACTGATACTAGTGGCAGTAATTTATAATGCCCAGTAATATTTGATGTTATCAGCATTTTTGGGTAAAGGAAAGTGTCTAACTGTGGAATCTCACACGGTATGATCTTGGGAAAAACAGCCAACACTAGCTTGTCCACGTAGC